TGGCAGAAGCAAGTTCAGCACCTGTGTTCTTCAGGGCACTCCCAGCCCTTTGCTATAGGCAGGAACCTGGGTAACACGGTCTACTTCAAACAATCCCATCCATTTCCAGTCCTTCCCATGTCATCTCGTTGCGCAGATTTTTTTCATTCCACTTTTGTTCTACAAAGGTTTTCCTCCGTAGCTGGCCATATGCCACAACCTACTTGTGACTCTGAAAGTGGCTGCTTTGAAGACTGCCCCATTTGAGGTGATTTCCTTTATTTCAGTAGGCGCAGAGCAGACGTCCAGTGCCAGTTTCTCCAGTTCTGCCACTTCTTTTCTTTTCTTTCTTTTTTTCAAATGTGCTTCCATGCTGGTAATAACATTCAAGCCTGTGAACATTCAGACAATGAATCCATTAATTTCTTGATGATCAAATCTTTGCATGAGGTTTAAAAAAAAAAAGAGAAAAAAAAAAAAGGAACTTAGTTCTTTTCCATTCTTTCCCTGCTGCTCTTTCACAGTCTCATAGAGCCGTGGTCATCAGGAAGCTTTTCCCAGAAGCAGCCTGTCTCATCATACCTCCCCAGTTCCTAATTGCGCTGCTTTTACTTGCTGGAGTTCCTTCCTCCGCCGGTCATCTGCCTGCGGTGGCTGCGCAGCTGGAGCGGGGCAGGCAGGTGAAGCTGCGGAGCAAGCAGGAGTGGGAGTGCAGAGCAAGACAGGCGGACGGGCAGAGGCACTGCTAATGGGACCTAGAGACGAGGAGTGTTGGGCAGTGGCAACAGGCTATTGTGAAACCCATTTCATTCGGAGGGAAGCACACACGGGCTCTGATCCCGGGTCTGGGGAGCAATCCATGTGTTGGCCATGGGAGGTTCATGTTTCAAATGAGAATCACTGTCCCCATCCCTCCTCCTTCCTGCTGCCCTGACGCAGACGCAGCGGCATGTCAATAGGACAAAATAGGGCACGTAAGTCATAAGGAGGGAAAGCCAAAGCCCTGAGCGTGGCCCCTCACCAAAACCTCTGCTCCTGCCTTGGTGAGCAGGTATCTGTGAAGCAAGAAGCTCCATGGGAGCGTGCCTGGGGACAGGAGCAAGGTGAGCAGGTCTGTTTGGATACGTCTGCAGTGGTTGCCAAAAGCACCCTCGGGGCCACCCATGAGAGCAGCTCTGCCTGCTACGGCTATGACAGCGTCA